GGGTGTTGAAAAGATGCAGGACAGTAGTTTCCAAAAAAATCCAAAATCCTAGTTGAACAAATTAAGTGTGGAATTGTGCATGTTCTTGCTCACATCTTGTTTGAAAATCCCTCCTAAACAATCACCCACAGAGTCCCGGGAGAGGTCCCCACCTGAGCATTATATAATTATATATAGAGAATTGTTTGACCCCCATAAATAAAGTTCCCAAGATTGGTTGTCTGAAAATCGGATAGCCATGGGTAGCTCATTCGATTCCATCCACTGATTTTTAAGGCTCCTTACTAAACTGGCAACATATTGGGGTACACATCATTCTCAGAACTGGCAACACACATAGATACCACGCCCCAGGCCAAGGTCACCTATCCGTGGGATGTTCCCTGTGAAAATCACCCTGAGTTCGAAATGCACCAGCCACCAACCCCGCATGTGCTCCTCATGGTGACATCGAAAGTCGGATTGTCCACCAGGAGGGCCTTGAGGTCTGTTGAGATAAACCAAGCGGTTTGGTTGTGCAACCCATTCCATTCAAGTGTGATAAAACTGGGGCACACTAAATTACTAATTTTCTTTAGAACTCCAATAACCACAGTATGTTTTATGATGTTTTATTAACTGAAAACTTAACTCCAATTTCTTGGGGTTTAAAACCCAACAAAACTTGGGGGGCCCTACTTTGTATGTTCAACTTCTGTTCAGCAACATTTACTCAAAAACTCAAGATCCCCTTCCTCGATGGCACGCGCTTCCCTGGGCGCTCTGGCAGCCAAAGCCCAAGCAAAGGTGGATAAGTCCTGGTACCACTTGAAGATAACATCTTGTCAGGGGCGTCTCCAACTAGGTATCTTTCGGGTTTGTGATGTTTCTGTGGGGTGGGTCGAAAAATCTGCGCTTGGCTAGTTCACTTCAAGAACATCACGCACTATGTCCACCTTGATAGCCTTGAGAGACACAGCTACTCCACATGGCACATTGCTTCTTCCTGGTGCGCTTTTATTGTTTGGGTGGTAGACAACATGCAGCATTGTTGTAACGATACTCTTCCATGTGGTAAACGTTCCATACATTTGCACATCATTTGCATCATGCAAGATACTGAGTATGCAAAACAACATCGTAAACATTACCACATTTTGAAACCCTGTCACAAATGCAAAAGTAAACATATGCACGTCAGATCATGTGTTCAAGTTGCACCAGTTCGATCGTCACATATAGATGTCCCGCATCTTTCTACCCATGGCGTCACTTGCGGATCAACGGCCCACGGCCCACGGCCCGTCCTGCGGAACTCCTTCCCACAGCTTTTCACCAAAGACCAGGCAAACCTGATCCTTGGTTCGGGCGGTATCGCAGGTCATCCTTACCATGGGAACCATGGAGCCGGCCAAGCATTCCGAAGATGACACTCCTGCAACCCAAGGTGGTCAGGATGCATCTTTATGCCTGACTTGACTTTACCTTCAATCTAGCATGAATCAGCTTCATCTGAATCAATCTGGTAGAAGACATGTTATTTTTGCTGTTGGACCTGGACTTTCCAACATATCTTGACCTGGATTTCCAGGCAGGTATCCCTAACCAACCTGAAAATGGAGTTTTCAGTGCCCAAATCTTCTGGTATAGGCTATAACCTCGCCTCAAATGATCATCAACCGGTCACGATTTCTCGATCGAGTGCCACACAATTTTTGCATTTCAGCCCATTTTTGGCTACTTTATCTATTGTATATACCTGTCTAAGCAATTTAACCAGCAACCAGCCGGGCACCCCACAAGCAGTTGCTGACTGCGACCTGGGGAGGGTGGCAAAGCCGAGACATGCTTGGAAGTAATCTCCCCCTAAATTCAACATGGAACCCCAAATCCAAACAACCACACTTAAATGGATTCAGCTTGGCAGAATCCCTTGCCATTCCCGTGAAACCAGACTAGAAGATTGCCAATGGCTGCACTCTTACTGATGTACGGCGACGCCAGTCAGGTCATCATGATGCACCCAACCTCCGATGGATAATGTGGCCATCGACCATACCTGGCGAGGATGAAAGTTGACAAAAGGCGCTTAAATATTTGGGACCAGCATGGACAACCATACATGTATTACGTACATGCATAAGTAGTTAATCTTACTAAAGCACTAGTAAACCATCCCAAAATCACCATATCAAATGGGTGGCTTATTCTTGCTGTAGTAACATTATCAAATTTATTCCAGAGAAGTACAACGAGTTCTGTTGCACATGTGTGCAGATACTTTTATAGAACACATAGGCCGGACCTTCACAGTGACCAAACTGATCTGGGATGTGCTTTTGGCGACTCCTGAAATGGTCATTTATCATAAGATCTTGGAGGTTTAGATCTGGCTTAATAGATCTGGCCCCCCGACTCCAAGATCTTATGAATTTAGCAACCCGGAAATCGTTGCTTTGAACTACACAGAGTGAGTCGTATAGACCATAAAAATAAGTCCACCATATGCACTGGGATGCACCACCTGATTCCAGCTCTGATAAGTTCGTTTAACTTCAAAGTGGTTATCCAAATAAAGTATCATGATCCCTTAAAAAAAACACGAAAAGTCTATCTGCAGATGAGACTCATTCTCCCAATTCCCGATTCGACTTTTCTGTAGACTTTTCTGAAGGAATTGGTAAAAACCACCCATTTTCATAGCCCATAGGATCCATGGTGCTGCTATATATGGCAACATGGATCCCATCAATATCCCCCAGTCATGTTAGCATATATACCAGCACCATGGATCCTCTGGGTAGGATTTTCCATGAAAAAGTCACCATCCAGCGAGCTGGATGGGTACCTTTATTTTCGGAAACCTCGAAACCTCCCGGAATCGATTCTCCCTAAGTGGATTTCACGGAAACTCAGTCGGTGAGACCACGTGACACAACTGGCCTGTCGAGGATATTTTGGGATGGAAAGATATGGGGAATATGGGATTCATATAATATAGGGAATATACATATATATATATATACTATGGGGAATATGTATATATATATACTGAATATAGGATTTATATAATATGGAATTAATATAGGGATATATATATATATATACTGGAATATTGGGATTAAAAGGGAATATAATCCGCATGTTCGTTTTAGTGTGATTTACTGGGGCCTCGGGATAGTTGGGTTTAGAACTCGTTTGACTATGGTGACTATGGTTTATGGCCGATGCATCTATATAGTTAATGGAGTTCATCATCCATCCACCAACCCAATCATCGTTTTCTCTGCCTAAGTTTTCATATCCTGCAGGAAGGTGTGCCATAGAAGAGTTGCCTGGAAAAACACTACTATTGGATCTGTTGGATTTATGATGGACTTATCTACAGTTCTGGTTGTAAACCAGGCGCATAACAGCATGGCGCCCCTTAAAGAATCATCTTTACCCATCCCGCATAATCCTGGTGAATAAACCAGAAAAAAACGCACGCCGCACACGTTCTTTGGATGTGTCTTCAACCCCAAACCACGAATTTAGATCTTTAATGTCTATGATACATGACATGTATATAAATATATATATATATATATTGATTTCATACTCGAAGAATATATAGTGTTCCCAGTTCCATGAATCCCGAATTGTATCAACAAATATATATTAATAAAGGACACCCCCATGTGGCAGCCACATGTTTGAGTATTTGTGCTGCTTTAATCAAAAAAACTGAAGATACAAATGTGGGGTCCCTCCAATCACTATGGTTTATGATACTTATAACATCTACAATACTTATAACTTATAACATCTTATAACTTATCTTGTTGGTGGTTTCAACCCCTCTGAAAAAAAATATGAAAGTCAGTTGGGATGATGAAATTCCCAATATATGGAAAATTGAAAAATGTTTGAAACCACCAACCAGTAACTTATAACATATAACCTACAACTATAGTTATATGGCAGGGTTTTATCCACCGACATCACTGGGCACCCCACGGCTCGGTTCCCCGACGTGAGCTCCAAGCGCTGCTCAGAGGCAGCGCCAAACGCAAGAGCTCCGAAAGACGAGGGTCGCGACCTCGCGACGTGGAGATGGGGCAGTGGATTCCTTTGAAGCTCCAGATGAATTCTGGAAGATTTTTGTTCTGCAAATGCAGAGATGCGGAAATTTATGAGCTATTGGCATAGTGTTTCAAAGCTAAGTCTCGATGCGCAAAATTTTAAGAGCTTTGAATCGAGAGACGCTCATGAACAGGATTCACATGACACTGATGGGCCAGTCCGACCATTTTGAAGGTCTTAACTCGTCTTTACGTATCCCAGCAAAATCGTTTATCTGCTAACGCTAACCACTTTGATGAAAGAATCAGGTCATTAAAGAGCCCTGGGCTACTCCTAACAGGGCTACTCCTAAAAGTTGAAATCCTTTAAACACTTTTCAACAAAGTTCTCAAAAGTTCAAAAAAGTCAAATTAATCTCAATTAAAAAGACACACATACACCAAATCAATCCAACAGTTCAAAAAAAAACATTCAGAACCTAAAAAAAAACAATGCAAAAAAAAACAACAACAACATAATAAACAAGTTCCAAACAAATCAAACAAAAAACAAAATATAAGAAACAACAAACAATCCAAACCATTCCAACAAGAAAACACATCCAGAAAATCGTTCAACAATTGTCAACATATATCTTGAAGTATTTGTTTTAAATAACCAAAAAAAAAATAAATGAACAATAGTGATTTGGAATGAAATGGAATTATTTGGAACGAACTTGAATTATTTGCGATTAAAATGAATGAACAGGAATGTTCGAGGAGTGCCCCTACCAAAAATGTACCCCTCCATTTAAAAAAAAAAGGAAATATAATTTACCATCAAACTGACAGCAATTCGACAAATGTATCCATGTATATGCATGTTACAACCTGCTGCATGATCACGAGAAACTAGGGTATCCTGCGGATAAATGTAGCAATTGTACTGATAAGCAAACTAGTGAGGCCTTGACGAAACATCGTTTTTTCACTAGCTGCTTGAATAAGTCCATTGTTGCACTTCCCCATGTTTCGGACATACTGACATACCAGCTATCAGTCAAATCATCCGTATAGTGATGCCTATTCACTAATTTGCGCATCACATTGGTTGAGTGAACCCTACCCAAAAAAATTGCTCGTCAACCGTCAACGGCCATCATCAATCATCAATCATCATTCCATTTCCAGGATGGGACATGGAACATCAAGTTATCAAATCATTTAAACAACAAATCTGCCAGATCAGCTATACAGTTTTACAGTATAAAAATGTATAAGATATACGTGTGTATATATATATATTATACATATACTGTGTATGTTATATATGTTATATTTGTATACATTTTCTATAATACTCCATTCCGGTCACTTGTGTGTGGGCCCAGCCTACGGTGGCAGCGCTCCTCCTCTTGCACAGTTGCGCCACCTGAAAAGTAACGCAACGCTTGTGTCCCCCGTGATGAATTTCTTTTCCCATATGCTCCATGGTGCTGGAATATTTACCTACATCCTGGAGCTATTTTGGGGGTAAATGTAGGTAAATATTCCATGGAGCATCTGAGTTAGGCAATACGGGTTGATCCAAACATGACGACTTACCGCAATATCTCCTTGTTGTTTAGCTGTTAAACATTTTTTTATGGGCATGAGATCATGCAACAAAAAACAAGACAACATATATGGTGGTTTCCATAAAATGGTGGTGTCCCCAATATCTGGATTGTTTTTTTCATGGAAAATCTGTTTAAAATGGATGATTTGGCCATATACCAAAAGATGTTGGGCTATCCTTGTTTCAGTCTCCAACGTTGAAAACGTTTCGAAAACCCCAATGCGTGGTGCCTTGTGGATGGCTGTGGCGCAACTGTTGGCATCGAATTCCTATGGCCAAAAGGTGAGGGCTGGTAGGATCTGGGGATCCCACTTGGGTCAAAGGAAGTTTGACTCGTATAGTCTACCTATAGTTCTGTAATGTTCTGTAATAATCAATTCTATTTTGATGGCTTGCCAAGTTTGACAGTAGGAACCAGCAAACTGTGGGGACATCAGCAAGAAAGGTTCTCCAGTACGGGAAATCCACCTACCACCATCATCTGTATTCTTTTGTGGGCAAATGGCACGGCTCTGCATCAAAACCCTGGCACAATACTTGGGTAAATGCCAAAACAGCAAGTTGCTGACAAGCAAAAAGATGGAACCGGTTGCAGGCAAGACATTGTGTGGGCGAGCGGCGGGGGTCAGTTAGATGGACTGATCAAAAGGGTTCCATCGAAAATCTGGTGGAGGCTACAGCGGCTACAGTCTGCTGCACTGGCAATCCAATTGCTGGATCCCTCCCAAGCCACGAATTGTTTTTGCCCAAAGATGGTCCCTTTGATTTCTAGATCCATCTTAGAATATGCTTTATATTCCCAGATCTGTGGGTGAACCCTCTATTGGTTGCTGGCGCTTCAGCACGACTTTTGCTGCTTCACAAGTAAGTTTATCACATCACCACATGCAGGGCCCAACTAATATAAGTCCCATGGCCATACAAGTTGCATAGTTTTATAAACCCATCCAACAGTATTTACATAAAAAAGAACTGTTGTAAACCCCAGGTCAAGCTAGTTCTAAACCAACTTACCCATCGTTTTGTGAGTTCCTATCTGTTTCTGTCAACTTGGTGAGCTGCATGATCTGAACGGCTCGCCTGAAGTTTCTCCTCTGCAATGCGCAGCACGTCCTCCGAGGAATTGTCCTCCGTTTAGCTGGGTCGGTCCCAAGGTCTGGACTTGTTACGACAAACAGACTGATTTCACCAATAAAACTGTCATTTTTCCAACTGAAATATTCAACATAAATGAAAACAAAAGTGACAGTTGTTCCAATTTCACCAGTGACAGTTGTACCAATAAAAACAAAAATGGCCACAAAACTCGGGTGAATTGTCCAACTGCAAAGTGGTGCACAGAAATCATCAGATATCCCCATAGCATCACTACAACTGAGTGGTCGGCGCCTGGTGGTTTCAAGCTCTGTGAAAACTATGACGACGTCAGTTGGGATTATCATGGATTATCCCCACAAGACACGCCTGGAGTTGGGATCACACATCTGGAACCTCATCCCATTGGAGAAAGGTAACGATTCCCGACGGGCTGCATAAATTGGGTCATTTTTCATGACCCCCTTTATGATGATAGTTGGCTGTGTGGCATCTATACATAATCTAACATAGTCTAACAATAGACCTATATGATTATATGTGATTATAGATCTATATATCACCAGCAATGTGGCAATGTGATTGTTTAGATATGGCATGTCCCTTCGTATGGCATTTTTTAACACCAACATTAGACAGCCTGCCAAATAAGAATAATCTCTTTACTGTAAATCCTCAATTTAGTGCAACAAATCAAGATACAAAACTAGCCAAGGTTGACTACCCTCTGGTAAACTAACAGTTTGCTGTTGAAAATGGCCATAGAAAGTGTTGATAAACATTGTGATTTTCCAGTTTTTTGCATGCTTGCAAGAGGGTAAGTATCATAAACCCGTATCATATGCATATAAACCCCTCATCTTCGAGCAGGCGCCTTGGCGATCAAGGCCCTGTGCAGCAGCTGGGCTGGCCTGATGTCAATGGATTGGTTTTGGTGGGAACAACGTCACTGGAAACCATGGATTTTACCATGAAATATGGGGGTTTCCGGAGTTTCCGGTTTCATCCAATGGAATCCAAATCCAATGGATATGGATAAACCACATATATGGAATGACTTTTGGGAAATTTTATGGGACAACCTGGTCTTCAGCCACAAATATCCGTCTTTCCTGACCCATAAATCAATTCTGGGAATGAATTCAACAACGAAAAATGATAGTACAGTAATACCACGGAAAATCATTTTTTTTATTTTTTGTGGGGAAGATGGTGGAGCATTTTCGTCATATGGGCCCCATGAACACATCCCAATACTAAGCACCGTTCGAACGGAGGGTAGTTGATATTAGGGGGAAGGGATTAGATACCGGTGATCATGATACCGATGATGATGAGGAGGAGGAGGAGGAGAAGAAGGATAAGCCAGCTGCCATTGCCACAATTCTTTCCCACACTCCCAACACTTCAGAGGTTCCGTGCGTCGGAGGACTGGCAGCTTTCTTGGCCAAGTTCTCCTACGGCGCGGAGAACTTTTGGTGAGGTTTCGGAACTAGCTTGACCCTCAGTTGACCTCAGCCCCCTAGAAATTGAAGGACAGGTGTAATATTGTGGAATACACTCACGGGGTTAATATCCATTGTGGGCAAATTGATGGTCGAGGTACACTGAGTTGTCGACTGTAAACTGCGAACAAAAACATAGTATAAGTATAAACTTGATTCTATGGGCTCCAACTTTTTTAGTACAGTTATGGCCATGATATTAGTTGCAACTTGCAACTGGTTATTTCTATGGGATTCTACAGTACATTCTATAAATGGGGTTTTCTTGGCACTTATAACTTATAACCTGTATTTTGGGCCATAACTGTAGAGCAGCAATGCCATAACTTTCTGCGGACCAGTGATTGACATTGACCCCACCTGGCGGGCTGCACCGGAGCGGAGCGATGCTGCAACCTTGGCGGTCACCACGACGTCAACAAAAAAAAGGTCAGCATGGAGAACCCAAATTCGACACGAACGATTCGACACGAACGATTCCGTGCAAAAAAAAACATCTTCTAAGATTCTAAAAATCTCTGTTCGACGTGGTTTTTTTCCAACAAACACATGGAGAAAAATGTTCGGAATCAACCCTCAACATGATTATGACACGTTTGCCCTCCGGTGCCATCAGCTCCGCTGAAAAATCCCCCCATTTCGAATCGGATATTCCCAGGTTCTCGGGCGCGCCCTGCAAGACCGCCTGCCATCGCAGACATTCCGACATTCCCGGAGAGTGTGGTTTCTGGTTGGTGGTTGAGCCCTCTGAAATATGACTTCGTCAGTTGGGATGATGACATTCCCAACTGAATGGGAAAAAATGTTCCAAACTTCCAACTATATATATATATATACACTCTTTGGGACATTTAGATGCACATGTACATGTAGAATGTACATGTAATCACATGTATTATTAATAATCACATGCAGTGCAAAACTAATTATTAGAATTGACAGGGATGGGGATGCAATCGTGATGAAACCTTGGACCAGTCCGCTGTGCCCAAAAATGCACCCCCTCCCAATGTTGAAATAACTTCAAACCATCCCAAACACACATAAATGAAGTTCACACATAAATGAAGTTCGATATACCGTTTGAGGAATTCATGGACAAGTATAGCTAAGTGTGCAACCACCAACCTTCAACAAAAACACATTATGGAATTTGCATCATTTGGTGTTTGAACAATACCTACTTCCAAAAGTGACGCATGACGGAAAAAACCTCAGGCGGCGTTGTATCTTCCCTTCTGATTTCAGATTTACTTTGGAGCACCTGGGTATGTCAATGAAGCCCCCTGAATTCCGACATCATGTGGTACAGAAACTCCCAGCAGCTCCTAAACGCTACCTCCCCCCAGCCAGTGGGGTACTTAAGCTAATGTGGCAAAGCCAACAAGAAATCATCCCAATAAGGTTCATTGGATAATATTGGATATACCCTCTGGTAAACATACAAAAAACTATGGAAAATCACAATTTTTAATGGGAAAACTCACTATAAATAATGAACATGTTCAATCTCAAACTGTTTGTTTACCAGAGGGTATTCTCCTAGTAATGGGATGATGTAAATTGACATAGTTAGTATTCATGGGATGGTTACCATGGCGGCGCGGTAAATGAACAACCCTTAACGGTTCGACAAACCCGCCTTCGTTGAGTTTCTTGGGATAAAACGAGGCCATTTCGGCGTGGGAACGCCACCTTGACGTTTTCGGTTCGCACGGATGGTCTTGGATGGAAAGCCATCAAACAATTTGAGATTTTGCAATGAAAAGCAATGATAAATGGTGATCTAATCAGAAAATCAGCATGGCCCGACATTTTCACTTTTGATAGAAGAGGTCTTTTATTTCTGAATTCAGGAAATTGTTCATTCCCAATCATCCATATTACCACCAGTTGCTCGAACATAAAATACTATCACCTCAAATTCAACTAGAGACCTCGGCACCATGAATGAGTGCGGTACTAAAAAAATACGACGAAAACCATGTCTACACAAACAATTTTCCAGTGGATAGTCGATTGATAAGTACTCTTTCCAAAGAATTGTCCGTCAGAGTTCATATACTGGCATACAGCAACTAAAAAACAAGTGGAAATTCAGAGCGCATATCAACATTTTGCCCAAAAAAACTCTCATCCATAGTAATTGCATATATATATATCAGTATATTATTATCATTTATTATTATGATTATTATCGATATTGTATTTTATATTATATATATTACATATTACATATTAAATAATATATATTTATGTATATTATATATTATATATTTCATAATATATATATATAATAATAATAATACTTATTATTATTATTATTATGATTATTATTATTATTATATGTATACTATTATATGTTATAGATATACTATCTGATATATATATATATATATATATGAATTATGTTATAGATATACTATATTACTATATGATATATATATATATTATCATATAGTCATTCCCTGTACTTCCAAGAAAGCCAAGGTTTTCAAAGCACCCTGCCCCCTGCCCACCTCCCACTTGGTGGAACTTTGCCACTGGAAGGCCATGGCTGTTGGATGTTTACAAAGGACGGTTGTGTGGGAAACGTCTTTGCTTGGAAAAAGTGCCAGATCACAAGGTCAGGTAGGATTCAACATATGGAAATATATGAAAACATACAGAAACATATAGAAATATATGAAATATATGGAAATATATGGAAACAATATGTTCAATCCTAGGTTTCAGGGAGAAACATATGGATACATAACCATCCTAGGATTGAAAATTAATGAACATTAGATATCATCAATTCCGATCCAAAAATGAATCTTGAGAGTCTTGCTTCAGGTTGGCTGGAGTTGCGGAGCAAATTCCAATCCACAAACAATGGATTTATCACATCAAGTGGTGATCAATAATGGCAAATATAATGCGGAGCAAACGACGCCCAATAAAGGACTGGTTGATTTTAACTAGCTGGAGATGCGGTTATGATATCATCATCAGCGCATATAGGCCAGATAGCTGGTTATAAATTATAAAGTTTTAAACTATAAATAAGTATCAATATATCCATCTGTTTTTCAGGTTGACTCCCCCAAGTCTTGTTGCTGTATATCTCCATTTACTAGATGCTTGTAAGGGTCACTCAACATCTGGGTCCACTAGCTAGCTCCACTAGGCAGCTTGGACATTGAGGCCAACGGCAAAGATGGCAGCGCGTCGTTTCATCCGCAGACTGCCAGGATTGGTTCTGTACACTGTGCGCAGACCGGGCGATTGCAAGATGGCTTAATCATCAGGCTGAGACAAACAGCAAACATCAGTTGTGTATAGAAATGGTGCAAGCAATGACAGAGATCTAATCCACCACTATGTGGTTGGGGAAGTCAATTCGTACTGTAGCTTAGCTGCCCATGTAAAACAGGGAAAATGGATACCATAGCTCCAAACGACTCCCTCCTAACCACTGGATAGTGTTAAATCAAACGTGCCAACATTTTGCACACCGCTGCCGCTGGCCTTTTTCCCGCCAAATTCGACGGGGCGGCTCCTGACGTGGTAAATCCAATCCCATGGGATTCCAGGATGGTTTGGGGGTGCACTTGATGTTTGAATGGGTATAACATGGGTATAACCGTGGTTGTAACACCCATAAACTGGTACAACTGCTCATTGATATTGTAAGTATGCCTCATCACATCTCAAACAATCAAAAACAAATACGTAGTATTGGTCTTGAAATACCATGCTAGCACTGGATCGCAAGGGTGGTGAAACAAAAGCATGAACAGAAGCTGGCCGGTGGCAACCTCACCCGCATGGATCCAGGAAACTGGAACCTGCTGATGTTCTTCTCGATCTTGGGCAAAATATCATGACAAACGTACATCTTGGGGTGATTCCCCCAATCGACAATTCTACTCTGTTGTATAGAATATATATATATATATTATACGTATATATATATATATGGCCACAACTAAAAGGGTTTTATTCCCAACTTAAGGGATCATAACCATGGTATACCATGGTTATGTCCGTTAATACCCCCGACTGCAGCCCAACCCTACAGGAAGGGTTCCCCCTTAGTTCAAGCCCCTGTAACAACCGAGTTCAATATGTAACATACACAATAGTCTGTTAAGTTATGCTTATCAACAGAAACCTACCATCAATCAATTCCAAATCCCCTTTCTTCTTGGTTTAATCCCGTGCTCCTTTTTCCTCTCAAAACTGGGGGCGCCTCAAAGCGATTGCGGAGCTCCATCTGCAGGATCTGCCTCCTGCCTTTGGTCACAGGCCTGATCATCGGGGAGGGATCTACATGTCCGTAGATCGTTAAGAACCCAAGAACTTCAATTAATTGTATGGGGATCTGAAGCAAATGTAGACACCATTCATATGTAGCTTCTTCCAATTAATTATATATATAATTATATATATATATGTATAATATATATATATATACAAATATATACATATATGGGGTTGACACATGTGCAAACATATGTTGAATTTCTGAAGGATCCATTGATGACTATTTCTGGGTTTCTTGAGTCATGTTAGGCGCGAGTCGCTTCTTGGCCACTTGGCAGGATGCAAACATTTCCAATAACAATCTAAAATGTGCACAATTTGCCAGGAAAATTCTTGGAGATGTAAGAATTGGTTGGAGAAGAATAACCTTATTGTGATGCAAGAAATAACATCTTCAACTCTTACAATTGAACCGTGATTGGACATCTTCTGGTGGGGGGAGAAAAACGTTAGAAAACTGGATCACATGTCTCATCCTGGCATGCTAGGTCTCCATCCAACTTCAGCCGTGGTTCACACATCTATTCCGAACAAAACTGTTCGCTTCTCTGTCCTTGGGAAATCTGTGGGAATGGCCATCGAAAAATAGGGGGTCAAAACGTCGAAATCCCAAGGCCACCCAATTCTTACGCACACAGAAGGTTCAGCTAAGTAAATTTCTCTGCATTGCTGGAATGTTTGCCACAGATGAGCCGGAATTTGTTCAGAGCCCAATCACATCAATCTACACCCCAAAATTCACCATGGAACCCATGTCAAAATAGCCGCGTCCACTATTGGTAAAATCATCTTCCGGACCGTACTTTGAGTTTTATGCTACCCTCTGGTAAACATACCAAAAACTATGGAAAATCACCATGCTATTAATGGGAAAACTCACTATGTCTATGAACATGTTCAAGTTCGCAAAGTGTTTGTTTACCAGAGGGTATTCTCCTAGTAATGGGATGATGTAAATTGACGTTAGTATTCATGGGATGGTTACCAGAGGGTAAATGTTTGGGTCGAATCATCCTGCTGACTGAATGTAGACAGCTAGGCGTCCACAGCCAACTCAGTCTCCGACGTGATCCAATGATGACACCGGTCACCTGAGCCAAACATTGCTGCGCTACATCAAACACATGGGGATTGTTCATGGATTTTTCATGGGAATTGACAGGAATTCATGGGGATTTATGTAGAAACTGACTATTTTACCAAAAAAAACTCCAAGTTGAGCTGTGCTTGGTGGTTAAGCAACTTGTGTGAAAAATAGGAACGTCAACGGGGATCATCATCACAGAAAGTATGGAACATAACAAGCAAAGACATGTTTCAAACCACAAACCATCAATTGATCATGTTTTGGTTTGTGTTTGTATGATCATATCATCAAATCCAAATATGACAATTCACCAGCCTGGAAACATATTGCCATATTGAGAGGGTTACCCTGATTCTAACCATCATTCTGACTAATGTCATGGTGAGCTCGTTTTAATTTATCCACAACAACGTATCCAAACAAAATATAACACCCAGATGCAAACGACAAGTACTGTAGCACATGTAGCACGGATGATATGTGAATCCTGACCGCCTCAATGACTGAATTATACTTGAGTGGCAAAGCCATATTAATATGTATTATAATATATAATATATAAGTGGCATAACCATATATACATTATTATTTTTAATTATCAATCTTCTGACTGAAAAAATACTCTGATAAGATCCCTATCAAAGCCCTTCTCAAGATATTGTCCAAGTATGTTCAAATCACATGCATCCGTGTATGCTCATTCTATGTACTGTAAGCCAACCCCGTAAGCCGTAAACGCTACATGGAGATTATATGGAAAGAGCATCATCTTCCGAGCCCAAACGTGAGGTCTTGTCCTGCCTAAAAAGAAGACTGCGTCTCCCTGCTGCAGAGGTACCTGATTGGATCCAAGGAATCGGGATAAATATGTCGATGGATTGATTTTGAGGTAAAGAAATTGTGAAACTATGGTTTGTAGCCCAAAAAAGCACAGGTTTCCTGGAGACTTTAAGCATCCACCAATTCTGGAAGAGACCAAGCAGGGATATGAACTGAAAGAATCAGTCAAATGGGATTCATCATTTTCCCAGTAGAAGCCCTGCCAATATTTGGGACCCAGTGACATCCCCCTGTATTTGGCTGCAGATACTTGGGTTTCCTTCATAGCCTCATAGCTTTAAACCAATCCATGGAAGATGCAAATAAATCTCTCTCTCTCTCAACGTGACTCACTTTGTTCAGCACAGGTTACCTCCCTTCCGACGCACTTGACGTTCTCCACCCTGACCATCAAAGCAGTTGATGCCGCCATCAAAGTCCGAGGGATCAGAGAGGAGTACCTGGAAGTGGAACGACTCCCACTCGGCTATGATTTGCCAATGGGTAGATATGGCTAGTCATCTTCCCAAGTACTTGGGCCTGACTAAACATACTAAATAATTGAGGTTGTCTTGACAAATAGTGACCGATATATATATATATATCTCTTTGGATACTTGCAACAGCTTCAAAATAGTTTATATTTGCAATACACTTATATAAAGACAGTTCATGGTATGTTCTGTTCATTACTACTTTGTCGACAAGAAATGGACGATCCAAAGTTCTCAAATCAGTGTGGCCAGTCATTGCCAAATGCTATAGGCAGGTAGGTTGCACCCTTTTCATGTTATCACAACCCATGATTCTGAGGAGATTTTAGACAAAAAACAGGCGGCATTGTGTAGTCTAGTAACTATAGAGCAACCATAGGACAGATTGAACGTGGGTATGCGTCAAACATGGAAACATCTTCTTGGGGGGAAGAATCTTGACTCATACCAAAGTGTGGGATAACCCTCTTGAGCAGTGCTTTTTTTGAGTGCTTGCGTCCTATACACTAACCTAGGGTACTACGCGGTGTGTGCGCAGGCCTACGCCGTGGCAAACAACGCCTATGCGAGTGCCTACACCAGTTTTTTGACCGCACATGCAAAAGCCAGCCGCTTCTAGCTCAGCCTATGCAATCTTGCCTACGCCCAAAAATCAACAAGTGTCTACTCGAAGAGCCTCTGCCGCCTCCGCTGCACTGCAAAACACACACGACCAGCCTACGCAACATATCGCGCAGCTCCCTTTTATCTAAATTTCATGAAATTTCATCATATGTCACAAAAAAAAACGATGCTCACTTGAGGAAAACAACTAAGTAATCATGGCTACCAACCAATCCCGATCCATGGAACGAAGCCCGGGAGCTACGGCCAGATTTGGGAGGTTTCAGACATGTCTGAATTTCCCAGTTAAATGCCACTATGTGACTATGTCCTTTCAGAGAAATGAGAGAAGTCTCATTGATCTTTAGCCCCTGGTTGTCCCAGATTTCTCCATCAACCAGAGACGAAGGGATGAGGTCCAAAGAAGTGTTCAATGCTAAGGTGGTTCTTATCCCACTCAACTCCTACAAGGTTGGGTCCCTAGTTTTGTTCGTTGGCAGCTTAGCTCACTAGACATATTCCTTATTAGGCCATAGTTATTTCATGTTATTTCATCATAAAGCCAACAGTTCGAGTGATGTTCACCAACGGCCATGGATTCCGAATGCAACGAATCTCCGCAGCATCTCCGCTGAGCACAGGGACCACCATGGTGACCATACTGTCGTTGTCCGTGTGTCGTGAGATGGCGCCGGGCTTTGCCAGCTTCTTCACGTTGTAATCGATGTACCTGTGCTTCAAGGTGCCCACTGTGCAAGATGCGGCCCTGAAAATAAAGCCAACTAGTTGCACATATATCCAACCGTAGATAAATATATTGTATATATAACAAATAATCTTAATATATATATATATATATATATATACATATATATATATATATTTATATATATATATATATGTATACATATATATATATATATCATTGTAAATCTACGCGCAAAAATACATCTCAATGTACCTTGGGGTGAGCCCTGAAGAAACTCCGGCAATTCTACAGGATGATAGGGTTGGATCTAAGGAAGAACCTGTGGTTTGTGGACCAATGTTGAAAAACATGAGAAAACATCGAGAAACACCTTATGGCTGGACTGTTGTGAACACCATTCCTGCGGACATGCTTCCGGCAAGAATCCTGCAGCGTATCCTTCTCGTTGAATTTCTAGGCAGAAGCAAAATGAAAAAAAACAAACACCAACTCCAGGTCATTGTTTCATTTGTTGCAGTAAGGACATGCGATCATATATCGAAGTAACAACTATATATGCAGAATGAACATTTGAAGTCCAGTGTTTCCATGTGTGTTTGCCCCAAAAATGAGACCCCCACCAGCAGAATGACATGGTCGGTATGACCCCAAGGCCCGGCCCACTCAATCTCGGGAAAAACGAAGTCCAAAATGTTGCCCCAGGTCCTGCCAGAATCAAAGGGAGATGGGTCACAGTTCGCTGAAATGCTCACGACGCTTGCAGTTTTCGAAGTGGAAAATCACCTAACAACAACCTTTTGATGTATGAATCATAGGTAAATCATGGCAAATCATTGAAATGAATAGCAATGGCTTCCATAACTTAAGCTTCCATAGCAGCAAGGGGTGCTAAATCATCAGAGGGTAGATGATCAACTAATTTGTGCATTGTTCAATAAAAACATGTGCACTGTTTAACAGTTTGCTATTGAAGCCATAGCCGCTATAGCCCATTTTGATGATTAACTTCTGAAAACATGGTGATTTTATGTGATTTTCCATAGCTATGTTAAGTAACCAGAGAGTAGATGTGTTTCCTCCCTTCATTTTTGGGATCGTTGGTGTGGGGTCGCCAAGAAATAACACAGCATTCCAGGGGGGTTGTAGTTTCCAGGATCCGCTGTTTCAATCAGAAGCCCATTCCCTGGCTGCTGGTTTTTCGCCACCATTTTGTGTTGTTCAAATTGCAACCGCGAGTTATTTGATTTTCCTACAGTACTTAAAACATAAGTAGATAATGATAATGGGTAGATATGGAACATCCATCATTGGTATCTATCCTTGGGAAACCATTGATCTTGTATATCAGTAATTATTCATTTACCGGAGTATATGGACCATATGACTCTGACCCATGCACATTGAACTGACTTCATTGACGTCCATTGCGGTGTCCTTCTTTCGATGGACCAAGCAGAGTCGATGAGCCTAAAGTAAACAGCAGATACAATTTGTCGGATAAGTTATGGTAACACCCCCAAAAAAGATCGGAGAGTATGTTGGCACTATTCATATCTATTTATTACGAATATATTTGTTTGAAGCGTCTCTATGAGTTTGTTCTTTGATAATTGACAAGTCTCAGATCATATTAAAAACAATCATCATTATGGTGATCACATATATATATAATGATAGTTTGAGAATGATTCCCCTCATTATAAAACAATCACTGGTGGTTGGCTGTGAGGCTGCAGAGTGAGGTCTCGAACTTCATGATCAACCAGTGGGATACTGGCGACGTGGCCAGCCTGGGGGGGCCGTTTTGTATAACTTATACGAAGGGGGCTTTTGGGAGTGATCATTGGGTTGATGTATGAAGTTGCTGAAGTTGATCTCAATGACTATACAATGAGAGTCTGAAAATGTCTTAAAGTCCAAAATTTGCCTTTGCTACTGTTGGAGTGATCAACAGCACAAAGACACAGAACGGCTACATATTTGGCACTGAAAAACAAGATAGTCTCAGTTGACCATGACACATGCAATCTTTGATGAACCAACCATCTACATCATCTACGCATGGTGGATCTATACCACTTTCCATGTATCCCCACGTGTTCACAACTATCCTCCAGTTGAGGAGCTTTTGAAAAAGAGCTCCATAATCCCTCTGCATGACTTCCTGCCGCCGGAATCATGCCAAATATGCCAATATCTCCGAGGATCAAACCAACAAACAAGGGAATTGCATCAACATGGTCAAGGCTTGAGCTAGAAAGTCTAGTACGTACGGCATTTTTTAGGCAGACATTTTAACAGATTTTTACAACAACTCCAGTGGTAACCCAAGGGAATGCAATGGTGCAGATGACTGTGTGACAGGCCATACCTCAAGAAAGAGGTTCCAAGGAAACGTCCATGCGGTCGCGGCTAGATCATTCTGCGCGGCTCTATGTTTTCCAAGCATTTTGGGATTCTGTGACACCCTGTTTTTTCCAGAGATGAATGGATGCACGTTTTGTAGGACCACCCCTATTTTTCCTGCTTGAAACACAGGAAGTTTCCCGTGTTTTCCTTAAGCCGATGACTTGAACACAGGCACAGCTCCCAATTTACTCCAAAATGCACTGTGCCAAAGATTCCGAAAAAAAAAAAAAACATGTATAGAGTAAACCTCAAAAAAAATGGAAAAGTCTACAATTCACCATAAATTCGAACCATTTCTATCTGCTGGGTGACAAAAAACCTGAACCCCCCGAAGCGGCCAAAACGGTTTTGGGTTCGTCCTCCATTCGCCAGACTTCGTGGGCCTGGTATACCATGTGGGGCCCACCGGTTATGTTTGTTGGTGAACAAAAACCACATGAATACTATAGTTCTAAGTATCATAAACATTCATAAACCATAGTTATAGCATGTTATAGGTGTCATAAACCACCATTAACTATAGTTATAACATGTTATAACTATCAACCAGAGCTATTGGAGTTATGTGGCACCCAACTTAGCGATTTCGTAGACGGGGGCCCCACATGATGTTGTTTCAAGTCAGTGTGGCAGTGCACCTCAGCACCCCAAGTGGACGGGAGTGATTTGATTGGATGACATCCCATAATATCCCATATATTATGGAAAAATATGGAAAATAATCCAGCCATGTTTGAAACCACCAACCAGATTTGATTGGCACCAAACGCACCGCCAGGGGACATAGCCCAAGTCGTCATCTCGATCATCAATCGCCCACGCCTCTGGATCCTGACGCCACAGATCTCTTGTTGGATTCCTGGCCACTTCTGGGTTTTCAACGTGAAATGTCTGAACACATGAAATTGTTACCGTAAGGATCTCAAAGTTATGATTGATTGTTGAAACTTGTTTCAACAGCACATATCGAAAAAAAAAAAAAATCTATCCAACGAGTGTATGCTGGCTGGCCGGCCGGCTGCAAAATAGCGGGCCGCACTACGCTCGCAATCGTATTGTATTCAATAGTCAAGAACCAGGTTGCGCGACTCCAAGATAGATGCAAAATCAAACAAAGTCCTTCAGCCATCCTTGAGTCCACTATTCCTCATCTTTGGAGAAGCCCTCTCAAAAAAGAACACTTTAAGAACACCGCCAAAAAAAGCATAGGCACATAGACGATATAGACACACAACACACAAAAAAACAGATAGATATATCATGATATATCACGATAAATCTATATAATTATCTATCCCATAGGATCCATGTATGCCATATATGGTAACATTTACCATCAATATACCCCAAATGTTAGCATATATACCAGCACCATGGATCCTATGGGTATAGGTTCTGCCAGTCCAACCAACACATCTCACGTATTTCCACGACTATCCCCTCAACGGCGCCACCTGGACTCCCAACGGCCGTCCTGCGCCGCCTCGATGGCTGCAGCCCTCTCGCTGGCGGAGAGAAAGTTCCGCACCGTCACCAGGTCCTCCTCTTCACTGGGCCTTGGTGACGAAAAAACGGCAAAGCTTTGGAACACCTTGCCCCAAATTGTGATGTTTCATGTGTTTTTTTTGTTGTATGGGATTTGATGAGATTCGTGATCGGATTTAGTTTGTCAAGTTGGTTTTGTTCACTTGGTGAATTCTATGGTTCATGGTAGATATATGTCTCTAGTTCATGGGGTTCAGAATCCTCCGACAGACAATGTGTGGCCCCCATGTTACAAGTTGGATTTTTAGCCCCAGTAACTATATATCTAACATAACCATAGTTAGTGTGCATCTGAGACACATCCAAGTGGTGAGAGACACAGGTCTCAAGGGGTCCCATGCTGCAAATCATAGAGGACATCAATTAAAAACTCAACAAATTTTGAGACTCGTGAATCACATTTCTCTTGGCAATACATAGATGATTTTTGTTACCTGATTCTGTGTTGATTGGTGGTTTCACGCTCTAAAAAGCCTAAAAATCATTCAAACTCCTCATCTGGGGTAGGAAGCTTCCCTTCCTCAACATTGATGTGGGGGTCCACACAGCTGAGATCTCCAGGCTCAAGGGGCACAACAAAATCCACAGGAAACCGGGTGGAAAGGGATCCGCATATAGGGTGTTGCTTCGTGTTGCTGCATTTTTAGTCTCAAAATCATGATTGAATGGAAACCATCATGGAATATCAAGATTGAATCGAAACTAGTTGAACCAATTGATCCAATTGTGATCATCATTGGTATCATGGATTCTTTGAACCACGGACTTCTTAACGTCGATACCACGGCACCCTTCAAGACGAGTCCACTGTCGTGGCGGCTGTGCAGGCTCACCAAGCAAAGGCACCTGGTTTGGATCAAGATGGGCATGAAATCATCATATCTGGTTGCTGGTTTGAACCCCTCTGAAAAATATGAGTTCGTCAGTTGGGATGATTTTCCCAATATATGGAAAGTCATAAAATTCCATGGTCCCAACCCACCAACCAGATATAGATAAAGGAAACCAGGAAAAGATCAATGGTGAAGTTTCCATATGGGTAGCTGAGTTTTGGGGCATGATAATTTTGATGGGAGGATCGTATTTCAATATTGATTAAAACTGGGCAAAGCAAGATTTGTCGCCAAACAAATGGTTTTCACCAATTCATAGTGGATATATGGCAATGTAAGGCCCCCACAATAGGTAAATTGGTTCATAACCAGGAGCTAGCTGGAATATGTATCTATCCAGTTGTGTGGGCTGGACATGAGGTGTCCATACATTTCAAACAAAAATCCAGAGTCCTTCCCGGGAAATATACCCTCTGGTTATTTAATATAGTCATGGTATAGATGGCCCATAGAAATAGATGGTTTACCAGTTTACCGTTCTTAAAAATGGTGATTTTCCATGGCTATGTTAAATAACCAGATGGTATATTAATATATATATATAATTACATACATGCCAATGACGGATAAGAAGCATGTTATGGATCAGATCAGATCCAAGTACCTTGGTTTCTCATCAACGACAGCTCATGGTTCAAAATAAATCCACTCATCAACTATTGCCCATCAGAGGCGATAAAATGACCCGTTGAAATGGCACCCAAGGGCATCTCTGGAAATGGCAGATAAACCAACATCACATGGTTCATTCTCATGATTATCACGGTCCAAATTGTAAAAATGTCAGAAATCGCAAGGAACGCCTATTATCGAAAAAAAGTCATTCGCAAAGCCCCGAATTATGGCGCTGTCCCACCAGCAAGCATCTGCCAGCCGCCACAGCAACGATGGAGCCCACCCGGCATCGCCGGGACATGGCGCGTCACGGCGCTTGGGACAAAGATAAAACAGGAACCACGATGGAAGAAATCCTGGACCGGTTGACAAGTGGTTTATCCCGTTATAATCCCATCATTTACAGTGTTTCGTTGTTATAGTTACCAACTGGTGCAGGATTTCTTCCATCCACTGTGGTATAAATGGTAAGTGTAAAATAGTCATTTGAAATGGTTAAATGTTGTATCATTGTGAATGTTACCATCAATTGGTAGATAACAAATTGTAAAAATGGTATAGAGTAATCATAATATTCCATATGGATGCAGATCGATCTGCAAACATTTTCACAATCTGTGAGGAGTTGTATGCACTGCGATGCAGCTTTCGATGGATCATGGCCGGCTAGTGAAGCCACAATCGCGGCCTTGAAGCCTTGGTTCTGATCTTGTGCAACCTCGCCAAACTTCAGGGCAGTTTGAGCATTGGGATTTTCAAGCCACCTTGCAGTTGGCAGCTATCGAACACTGATAAACCCAGATCCTCGTTTTGGTGTTGGTATCCTGAAGTACCGTACATTCTTGGAGCGGCTGTCCAGTGAAAACATTAGGTGGAAACTAGGTGTGGGTAAACATACCATATACAACTGCGATAACAGTAGATTTGTGGGAAAATGCACCAGCACTATGGATTATGTATCAAGACCACGTATTTTTTCAGGACATACACTCAATCGTGGTCCACTTCTAGAGGAATCTCCTCTATGCTCCTGATTCCAATTCAGCTTTCAGCAGCATTGAGCGGCTTTTACCGGGGCACACCCATCCTTAAGCAATTCACATCCGAGGCCATGTTTGTTGATCAACCGAAACTTGGAACTGTCTGATCTCACCGTTTCGAGGGTACAGAACGAGTGACTGTAATTGACATGCAGTATTCATTTTGAACATGAAAGTCAAAATTGGGCTACCTCCAGAAAAAGATCAGATACTGCACTTCAAGCAAAAAAAAACAAATTACAAAACCATGTCAATTTGGGTGAAAACCCTGGTACCCTTCTGTTCACTTCCAAACACGAGCCGGGATGTGTGCATGTTCATTCGTCCTCAACAAATGGTATTTCCAGCCCCATGTGGTTCCGTTGGTCAACAAGAATTTGAGACCGCTGTTTGCCATTGGCAGCATAAGTCGGCGGTTTGTTTGAAAGTGTACCCCAAAATCCAATGGTTATCATATGTCATCGTCATCGTCGTCATCATCATCATCATCATTATCATTATCATACATAATATATATATATATACATTCAAAAAACATTTCTCATGGAATATCTCATTCTCAAAGTGGGGCACCCCAAAATACTATGGTTACGATCATCTTTCCAAACAAAAACTGTCCGTCTCAGAGTATCCCTCATTTTGGGACAAAGCAATTTCTTAGGTAATGTCAACCCCGGATTAATAAACCAGGGTTTATGAATTAGGGGGATACTCCCCAAATAGTCACAATATGATTCTTAAATGGTATCCCCCCAATCAAACAGACTAGGGGTTTATTAATCCAGGGTTGACATTAGTGTTTTGTCCCGCTCAGGACTCAGCATTTTTTCTTGTCCTTCACAGCTCTTTGACCTTCGTAGCTCATTGAGCTTCACTTATGATCGACCACCCAGGTCCCTAACATCGCAGGTTCGTTCGCGTTCGTCCCACCTTTCGCTGGGTTGTGTGCCGCCATGAAGCGGCGAATTAAATGGGGTGTATGTTTGCAAAGTAGGAAACTACACAAAGTCGTCTTCTCACCAGGGTCTTATATATATATATACATATATATATATATATATCATGTCTTGTGTTTAACAAAAAAAACTATTGTTGTTTGGGCACTGAATTCTGGGAACCAAACGCATTCTTCCAAATCTGCTATCCATGCCCCCTCAAACAGGTGGCACTTTGTAGAATCTTGTGCAGCTCAAGTTGGTCGAATGTTAAAGTGGGACTATCATGTTTCTTCTAGATACACTATACTAAATATCATCTATATATTATCTATATTGTCTGTATTCACTAAGCTTAAAAGCTCGGCCATTTTGGGATAGTACCCTGATCCTAACATTCCAGTGACGTATTGATCTTTGATTCAATGATGTCCTGTGACCGCATCGCCCCGCTCAGTATGGACCGGGCCGCCCCTTCGAACCCTGGCGGGGTTGGGCGCAGTGGGAGTGGTGACCAAGGGACCAAGGGACCAAGGGACCAAGGGACCCAGGTAGGGATCGATATGAGATCCTGCACGGTGGTAACCCCCCTAGTTATAAATTGGTTTATAACCCCCAGTAACTATAGAATACTATAGATATATCACCTATAAACCAATACTATAGATATATCATTTATTGGTTTATAAACCTCATGAAAACTAGTTCGATATATCACCTATGAACCATAGTGAAATTGGAGTTCTGTGGCCCCCAACTCAGCCATCTTGGGGGCAGCACTAAACTTCTGGGAGGATCTCTGACATCCCGAATTTTTCTGCTCCAGTGCTGGAGCCCCAACATTCATGTTCTCACCATGTTTAACCTACGACATGGTAGGAGATGTGAGGGAATACCTCGGGAAAAAATCCCGTGTCCTCACTGATTTCCTGCGAAAAAAAATGCCCAAATACAGTCGTTGGATTTTAGGATCCAAACCACAATACACAACTGCCACTGTATGTATATATATGTATATGTATATGTATGTATATATATATATATATGTATATATATGTATATATATATATAATTATATACATAACATGCGCTAAAAAAACATGTTCCTCTCAAAATAGTCTTACTGATTCATTCATGAATGACAAGCTTCAATTGTTCAACCACTTGGTTATCATGTACATGCAACGTGATGCCCCATAGGTATGGGTTGGTGCATTAACCCATGAAGTATAGCTATAATCACTATAAACCCAACAGTTACAGTTGGGCTAGTTCTAAACCAACTTAGCAAACATTAACAAACTAGATCTAATCAAATAAATCCTATTATTATAAAATCCCATCCATTTTTGCTGGTAAGATACTTATTAGCAGATATTAGCAGTTCTCAAGTTTTTTTTTTTAAAATAATGCAGGTTACTTGGGTTGTGGCTTTTAACTGCAGTGTTGGTGCCTCATTGGGAACTGGTCAGAGCCACGTCAAGCGTGGCTAGTGCTAAAATGTTCGATACTCTACAAAAGAAAAAACAAATATACAGTTGATCAGTGTAGTTCATACAGAATTATACACACATTACATGTAATTACACACTATATGTACACATGACTGGATGTTTATATATACATATTACAGTATTTATATATTTACATATATTACAGTTATATATATATATATTGATTCTACCTAAAGACAGACATTGGGGTACTCAACAAGCCATGTTCACCTTACGAATTACCCAGACCCACCTTGCCATCGGGACCATCTGCCAGTTTGACAATGATGTTGCCTGCCGGCCAGGACACACACATATGCATGTATACAAAGTATAGCGTATACATATATATATATATACACATATGTATATGAGTATATATATATATATATATGTATGAGTATATGTATGTGTATATATATATATAAATATATGTATAGAAAAAAGGACAATGTATCTATCACTACTATATATATAGTCTATTGTGCATGCATGGACAGATAACGTTGTACCTTGTATATATTTAATATATGTAATATATATATATATATATATTGAATATACAAATTTATGTATATATATTATAATGTATATATATAATAATGTATATATATAATAATAATGTATATATATTATAATGTATATATATATAAATAATATATATATATGTATGTATGTATAGTAACTAGTAGTTACTGTAGACGTGCCTTTCAGAAAGTATCTTTGCGAATCTTTAAGTGGAAGCCGCTAAACAAATACGGCAATGCTGGACAGAGGATCTTTCTACCAAAAATGGCACTCCTTTCTTTCATCCCGCAATTGACGAGAACCAAGAAAACATGGCCACGGATCAAGGTTCTCCTACATGCAGATTGCCATGCCAAGATCATTCACAACCCTGAAATCAACCCCATGCAGACCACGTTCATGTCGATCTATGATTGGTAAACAACCCCTACAAATGAACTCTATTCAATGACTTTGAAGGGGGTGCGCATAATCAAACAAAGACATTCTTATTTGGGATCATTTGAATCATTTGGGTTTGTCAAGAAATAGAAGCAAAAATCCGGCTGATACCCCAAATAAGCGATTTGAATCATAAAGTGGCTCCGGGCCGCGAGTAACAGTGAGAAAACTCAGGGCCAGAGTTTTTTCGCCCAACTGGAGACGGGTTTACATCACCTCTAATTTCCTAGATCATAGCAGAAGTATCGCAGAATCACATAGAATCACCAAATATATAGAAATTATTGTGAGATGTAAAATTATAGATTTATCATATATAGATTACTAGATGACCATAGATATTATTATTATTATTATTTTTATTATTTTTAGTTTAACATATATTATTATGATATCCCACTATAATCACTATAGATTATACTCTATTTTACCATAGATCATTGTGATATACAGTACCATAGATTATTGATTTACCATGGGTTTACCATAGCTGGATGGTGGTTGAGCCACCCCTCTGAAAAATATGAGTTCGTCAGTTGGGATGATGACATTCCCAACTGAATGGAAAAATAAAAGTCATGTTCCAAACCACCAACCAGATATTCATTGTTACATCATTTTAAATCCATCATATTTATCAATATTCCTAGATATTCCCATCATATTTGGAGTCATGGGACACATCTCCAATGATTTATCGCACAATGGGTTTACCATAGTTATGTTAGTTTACCAGGAGGGTAACAGTAAAGCTGAGCCCTTTACCGTGGGTTTACCATAGATTATACCATAGATTGTTCCAAACCACCAACCAGGTGTATATATATATATAAAAGTAAGTAATCAAATAAATTATGGTGCTATTTTACCATAGATTATTGCAATATATCATAGGTTTACCATAGCTCACAATTTCCCAGTGGCTCCGGCGTTCTCCAGCCTTCTCCAGGCCTTATCTCATAGCCTTGCGCCATCGCCTGATGGCGCCACGATTCTTGTTCACGACAGCCAGATTTCCACACACAAAAAGGGTATAGCTTACTATACCAACAAACAAAAAACATAGAAACCTAGTTGGTGGTTTTAACCATCTTGAAAAATAATAGTCAATGGGAAGGATTAATTATCCCATATACAATGGAAACAAACATGTTCCAAACCACCAACCAGAAACCTTTTAGGAAATATGAATCCTACTTCAATGGTTTTGAATGACTGTCTTTTTTCCGGGGTGTACGTCCAGTTGTGAGGGGAAGAGAAGTGAGAGCCATATCTATATAGTGTCGCTTGGTGGGACACCAACTGGTTACACTCACATGTCGAATCATCATATGGAATTCAGAGGAAAATATATGTTGGTTTGGCTGCAGGTATGTGTCAATTCTCTTTATTCCCGAAACATCTGTCAATTGGTGCGACGCATCTCAAAACAAGATCGACAACACGAATGCTGTTGCCACCACAACATATGTTTGACGTCTCCACACAAGTCTGGCTGCTAGTTCTAGCGCAGTATGTCCCAGCTTGCGTCGACACACCTTCTCTTTCCTTCAAATGCATCACACTTTGTATCTCACGCAAACCACATCGCAAACCACATCGCGTGTTGTCTTCCAGGTCTTCCCTTCATTCCAGTCTTGCACTTTCTTCAACATTTTTGGTCTGATGTCTGAAGTTCAACTTCACAAATTCACAAGTTTTCTGCCCCTGTCAGGTGCGCATGGTACCCTCTGGTAAACGTTTACATAGCTATTGAAGATGGCCATAGAAATAATTGATTTAATTTGATTTACCCAGCTATAAAATGATGGATTTTTCCATAATTACGTGGCTGTTTACCAGAAAGTGCATGATTCAGAACTGAGCTCTGGACCGCAATGGCATTGTTGGCTTCTACCTGTGGCGCCCGTGGCATGGCACTCCCGGCACTGCGGTGCCGGGGATAAGGGGAACCAAAGCCAGAATCATTGGGTTGTCTCTTGGTACCCTCTGGTAAACTAACATAGCTATGGAAAATCGCCATTTATAGTGGATTTACCCATTAACAAGTGTGATTTTCCATAGTTTTTTGTGGAAAACCCATGGTTTCCTGTGGAAATGATCTAAAAATCATAAAGTCAGCATCCCTGCAGACGATATGAGGTAACTGCCCCAGCTAGGAAAAAACACTCCACTGACCACAAGTTACATCCAGTTCTACATGATTTTTCCCCAGTAAATTCAATTTCTTCTCTTCTGTTTTCCCAACGTGTCTCCATATTCTCCCAATAAACATGATGTGTTTTCCATATTCTCCTGTAGTTTACCATGATGATTTTCCACAGTTTCCTGATATTTTCCGTTAAACATATGGGGGTTCCTAAAATGGTGGTACCCCCAAATCATCCAGTCGTCATGAATAACAATTTTGGTATTGAAGCCGGTGACTTGGGGATCCCCCATTTTTGGAAACTCCCACTCTATGGCTTTCCAGCCATGCGCCATGTCGCATGTCCCATGACCACAAAAGATCCAAACATCGCCGAGGGACTTGGGTGCTATATCTCACGAAGGCACAGGCCTGCCCACTCTTGGACCTCCCGGGTGGTCAGCAACTAAGAGGGGATGCAAGCGAGAGGTTGTACATAGGAAACAAATGGTGGTTGAACTAGGGAAAATGGTGGTTTAACGAGGGAAACTGGGATTTCATGGCTCATGATGGTGATGTTTTGGTGATATATAACCTACTTTGGTTCCAAGTAGGCTTTCTTGGAGTATCTGTCTTTAGATACAAAATGTGTGTAGATGGAGAATCACAAGTTTTCTCACCGATCTGAGTCCATGTTCAACCCCTAAACCCACAATGTTAATCGTTAGTTTCTGTTCATTTTAAGCTGGTTGGTGGTTGACCCACGCCTCTGAAATATGACTTCGTCAGTTGGGATGATGAAATTCCCAATATATGATATGGGAAAAACATGTTCCAAACCGCCAACCAGTAAGTGACAATTTCGAAACAAATCGATGTTTCCAGTTCGGTACTGTTACGGAGTTCCAAGCATTGGAGTTACAGTTTTGGGTCTGTATATACCAGTTACAAGTACTAACAAGTCACCCCACTTTTTTCCACTGTATCTCATCCCATAGAGATATCACCAGTGAAAAAACATGGCATGCCATGGCCATAACTCACTGCAGACAATCTTGGTACTTACTAGCACATCTACAAGGTGGTGCCCCTCAAACGTTATGTTTCTTGGTTTATAAACCCCATGAAAACTAGTTTGATATATCACCAACAAAAACCATAGTGAAATTGGAGTTATGTTCACCAACTGAACGCTATCGAACGGGGGCACCATCTTCTATGTCATTGCGTTCAGTCCTTGGTAATGTCAACCCCGGATTAATAAACCCCAAACGGCTGTTTCATTGGGAAGGTATCATTAAAAAAAGTATCAAATCATGACCATGGGGGGAATTCCCGGTATATCCCCTAATTAAAAAACTATATGGTTTATTAATCCGGGGTTGACATTAACTGGTTGGTGGTATACCTACCCCTCTGAAAAAATATGAATTCGTCAGTTGGGATTATGAAATTCCCAACTGAATGGAAAGTCATAAAATTCCGTGGTTCCAAACCACCAAGCAGATTGGGTTTACCATGGTTTACCACAATACCCTCTGGTAATTTAACATAGCGAACTGGAAAGATCCACCATTTTTAATGGGAAAATCCACTATTTCTATGGTCATTTTCAATAGCTATGTTAGTTTACCAGAGGGTAAATCATGGCCACTTCAGGCTGATCCCATCCCATGCAGCGGCACTTGCCCGTCATCAGGTGGACATCGGTCACGCTGCCATAGGTCTTAAAGACCCGCTCGATGTCTTCCCGAGGAATGTCACCTCCGAAAAAACAGCCAGGTGCTTCTTTAAAAAGAACAGGTCGTGTCGATACAGTAGCATAATGTACTGTGTATATATAATATAATATATATATATGTATATATATATGTATGTATATATATATATATGTACAGTATATATATATATATGTATGTATATATATAATGTATATATATATACATATATATGTATATATGTATATATATATATATATGTGTGTATCATACCTATATTCACATGATTATATAATTATATATCTAATCTGTGTTTTGTTGTTTTGTTTTCCGGTTGGCGGGTTCGACTCATCCCAGAATACTCATCATGGGATGGTCACCAGCCATGTACATGATCATTCGTGACTTTGACGTGATCAAGAGCGTCGAAGTCTTAAAATACTGCTTGAGTCCTATCTGTGAGTACCACAAATTCAGCAGGATTTCCATACATTGACCATAGTAAACGGCGGTGAACCATAGATGTGGCGAGTTGGAGAGGCTTGAGAGGGAGGGAACCCAATGATTAAAACAGGGATCATTTTTCGGATGACACCAAAATCTCTCTTGAATCCAATCACCATCAACTACTAGAGACAAAAAATCTCAATTTCAATTATTTCAAACAGTTCCAGTTCAACAATCCAAAGATGTCCCTACTCCAGCTAGGCAACGGTTATAACATGTTATAATAACATGTTATAACTACACCATGATATTCAACAGGAAAACCCATGGAAAACCCATGGAAAAACCATCGAAAAAAACCATGGAAAGCCAGGCATCTCCACCCTGCCTGGGAGATTTCCGACATAGAGCTTCGTGCCAGGCTCGCCCTTTCCACCACCACCGCCGCCGAAGCCGCCTTTGCCACCTTGGATGATGATGATGATGATGGTGATGATGATGAAGATTTGGGCGTAAATTGGGATGCCTTTTTGTCTATTTAATTGGATAAACTTGTGTTTGAACATGCAAGGAGATGAACAGGATGATCTCAGGTGAGAAACAGTATCTAGTCATGGGTCGACATGTTCAAAGAGCTCAGTGACCGGTCCCAAAGAAATCATCTTAAATCTCAAAACTCTCAAGCCCCTGCCCACAAAACACATGACTAGAGCGATTGAATTCAACAGAACATACATGTATCTGGTACCTTCAAGCCCTTCTAAGCAGCCTGAGCATGATCCATGTCGAAACGATGTACATGTTATTTTTGTTTACATGTCTTGCCACAATTGTTCAAGTGGTCGGTATACTATGATGTTCGTGTAATTAAAGACCTCATGTAGCATTCACCTCAAAATAAACATGTAGTTACTAGTTTATAATTCATATCGATAAAATTCAACATGTATCCAACATGTATCATCTATACCCTTCTTGGATGAGTGAAGTAACTGTCCCAGCTGAGGATTCTTTCACCTCTGACTGTTTGGGTCAAGCTCTTGCTGGACAATGCCGGTCTGATGTTGAGGCAAGTTGTATCCCTACTTGGTTAGACTCAGTTGTTTCTAGTCCCTTCATTTTTTTTATCATTTTAAAATCCTTCCCTCCTTTTTTTCAAATACACCCACCAGAATCCCGAACCAATATTGCTCAAAGCTTGAAACTGCAAGGTGGTGCCCCTGTAAGCTGGTTTATTGACCCATTCACTCGAGTTTTAATCACCATAGAACCAACACTTCGCCTGGTGGTTTCCACCCACGAACCCTCCAAAACTTGACCCATCATGTTGAACTCGGGAAACTGACCCCTCTAAGGGGGTAATTGGGTCGTCTTGGATAAACCCAAATCTGGTTGGTGGTGCAATAACCATCTTGAAAAATATATGAGTTCGTCAATGGGGTTAGGATTATCCCATATATTATGGAACATAAAAAAATGTTTGAAACCACCAACCAGCAAAATAGATTTGGATCTAGTTTTTTGTTCAAAAATAAACTTTAGATATGCACAACAATTGGGAATGCTGAAAATTAAATATGGTCAAGCCAACAAAGACGCATCCCCACTGTCACAAAACAGGCGGCTATGAACCGTCAAGTTGAAATAGGACGGTTTATGATTTGCTTTGCCACATGAAAGTGCCACAAGATGCCATCAAGTTTCATGAAACATTTGTTGTTTGGTTGGGTAAAAAACTTTGTGGCAAAGCAAATCATGAACCACATGAAACATTGGTTGTTTGGTTTTACATTCCACAACAAACTTGTCCAAGATGCCATTGCTGTAGCCATCTCCGCCCCAGCTAGACCAGCCATCGTAGCCTTTGCAGCCGCCTTTTCCACAGCCTTTGCCAAAGCCCGAATCCTGAAAGCGTCAGGGCGACCCTGACAACTTGGTGCTGCCACCAATCCCCGAAAATGGAAGCTTTAACTGGAACATCATCAAACATCATCAAACTAAATGGGTGACTTTCCAGCAAGCCATGTTTGACTACCGGGTATATGAGTCCGTATCTTCTGTTAGGTCCTCACTTAAACTAAAGGATTGCTAGCTCCAGGATTGCAACGGGAGGTCATCGTTCCACTTTTAGGCCCTTCTTTGCTCCAACTCCCAAACAGGATCCCAAGGTGATAAAATCACTGGCCGTCATGTAGTATCTGAATGTATCTGATAATACGGAATCTTTGCGCCTTTGTGTTCGAAATCTTCGGGTTTTGCGGGTCGTAGCTTCATCCTTGATAATCTTGGAGCATATGAGTATTCGAGGAAATCTGTTCTGCCAATCAAACTTCTTTATTCCACACTTTTCCCGTCATTATCTCCTTAGGTTGTGGTGATTTCAGCGGGTCAGTGTTGAGAGTTCCGATGGCACCCAGTAGTTCGTATCAAAGTAGCAGGTTTTCTGCGAGCGTTCCCCCATATTTCTGCGGAAACTCCTAGGTTTTCACGCATCCCCAAAGACTAAGTGGGTAACATTATTCCTCGTTGGTGGTTTCAACCCACCCCTCCGAAAATATGACTTCGTCAGTTGGGATGATGATTCCCAACTGAATGGAAAAAGAAATTTCATGTTCCAAACCACCAACCAGTAATTATATAACAGTAATCATGAATCAATAACTCTATATAACCCAAAGTAATCCAAGAAGCATCCCACAGAATACAGGCAATCCCGATATGATAAAAGGCGAGGTGCGTAGCCACCATAGGGATCGGAGGCCGCGCCGGCGTAGCCACCATAGGGGTCCGAGTGCACAGAGTTGTAGCCCTCGTTGATCCCACAGGTATGGCCCTTTATATACCAGTTGTAAGTACTAAGAAATAATAATATAATTCCATGGTTTTATAACCAGTTATAACTAGTAGCCATGGCCATAACTGCAGTCAATCTTTCTGGGGATGGTTGGTACTTAGTATGGTTACTACCCCATCTATGTCATTGCTATTTTGTTGATAAGTCATTGGGAATGGTTAAAAGTCAAAATGGCAAGTAAACCCACAAGCAAAAAAAACAAACTTTGTTGTCAGCTACACAGCCCATCATATCCCCAAGTTCTCTTGGCGTCATCAACGCTGATGCTAGCTCTACTCCTGTGATCTAAGAACCCACCATGTTTGATTCTCCCTTCCAAACACATCCTTGAGAAGGTCTGTGAACCTCCAAAACCTCTCTAAGCCGTGATCTCAGAGTGAGTCATGAACGTCTACTTGCTGGTTTACTGCAGTTGGTAAGTGGGTTGCAACCCCAATCATAACTGTACTATCCCTACTTACCCTACTTCTCACTGGGGTTAGGTTATAACTCACCTACTAACGCGGGTAAACCACCAAGAACTGGTAGACTATAAAACGATGAGTTCAATGTCTACCCAACTTTCAATTCTTGTATCGCCATTGCTATCTTTAAACCCACTAATCCAGGAAAGAATTTGTTTGTTTTTGTTTCTTACTGGCAACACAATATATTTTGTTGGAGTCCAATGTGTGTTGGTAAACTCCTGTGTAAACCATTGCCTTGACTCCCGCATAGTTCTTGGTTCAACTTCCACATTTGCGCTGGTTGAACTCCCATGTTGATTGGCTAGGCTTATGGCCCTCAGTTATAAATGAGATTATGACTCCTGCAACTAAGGTGAACTGTGTATATATATATAAATATATATATAATATGAATATATGATCACTTCAATGGGCTTTTCTTAGCCAGTCATAGCTGGCTAGAAACCAACGTCTGTCGATCCTGACCGTTGGCCCCCCAAGCAATCGCCTGGTCGTATCCCTTGCCATAGGTTCCTGCACTGAAACCGCATGAAACCGCCATCGCTGTTGCAACTGGGGGCGGGGTTGCAAGCCAAATGATGCCAAATGATCCGGCTGAAGAATGAATCTAAAACATATCTAAAACAGATGAAGTAAGTGAAGCAAGGTACATTTAAGCTGTAATCTTTCTAGTCATAGAACAACAATGAAACAACCCCATGGGACGCCAATGGGACGAGTGCCCGTTTCAAAGTGACCACGCGAAAAAAGGCCATTAAACCATGTTAAGGGGATCACCATTTGACAGATGGAGTTCAACATGGTTGAACATGGTTGAACATATGATTAAACCCTCTTTTGGGTTCACCATTTAGATAACCTAATGACCCATCAATTTGCAATTAGTGTGTTGTTAGTAACCCTAGAAACTCACCAGTTCCTCCCATGGGGCCTTTGAAACCATGGCCTTGGTCTTTGCCGTCTTTGCCCTTGCCTGCGAGTCAGCAGCTATGGATATCATGACTGACACTCAGTTAGACATCAGCATGGAACCATTCTACAGTATGTGCAAGTTCTCCTGGCACCCATGAAGTTTTGTTGCCTGACTAGATTATCATACCATATTACCGTATTACAGTATAATGAGCATATAATCATCAAAAATAGTGGACTAAAAGCTATTGACTCTTGCCGCATGGCTGCACACAGATCCACTTTAAAAATGGAACGGAACAGGTCCAAATAGATGACTCTCTGGGAATGCGCTGGCCAAGATATGTGACTAACCATGGATATATATATATATGACAATATAAACTATATCCAAACAATAAACAACTATATATAAATTATAACTATGTAATATATGCCAATATATTTTGTTGGGATATATATATGTCACATATTATGACAATAGAAATTGTTATATCCAAACAATGCCTATGGGCCGCCAAAACCTAGAACTCAATGGGCCATGTTCATCCATGTTCCGTAGATATGTTGATGAGCCAGACCCAACCGTAGCATAAAAATCATGATCTTCAATGCATAGATGTATATTGTAGAGTAAATTACTCTTTCATGATATATGTATATGATTGTATATGTATATTATATATGATATATGTTTTACCTTTTATATTATGATGTATATGCTGGATATATATATATATTATATACATATCCAACCAACCTGGGTTGAGTCATCCCTAATCCAGCAAATCCGTCAGCGGATGATTAGGAACCATTCCAGTAAGATTCAACTCCCCGAGTGGTTTCCTGCAGTTTAAAAAAACGGCCCCTGAATCAATGTATTCAAGTGGAGCTCCAAATGTGATTATTCCGGCGGTTGAATGCCCCATGGGATAAGCACCAAGGTTTTAACTGGTTGGTGGTATACCTACCCCTCTGAAAAATATGACTTCGTCAGTTGGGATGATGATTATTCCCAACTGAATGGAAAGTCATAAAACCACCAACCAGTAACCCTTTGAAAACCGTGTCGACACTTCAGCCGCCAAAAAACTGATCCCGGAAGATCTCCTTCTGGTGGAACCCGGCACCTCCTCGCGGTCTGGCCACGCTCACGTGGATAGGCTCTGGACAGGATTCTCGGAACCTGGGCATCACTTGGGTGACCGAGGTGCAGAGGAACGCTGAGGAAATGGGGTTTCTGTCCAGCTTGGGGATAGGTTTTGGTTTGATCTTGGTATATGTTTGTTGATTTTGTTATGGAAATGTGTGTTGGCTAAAACATGTAGACCTTTTGTCATGTTGTTTCATGGTTTCGTCGTTGGAAATTATTGTGATACTGGTAACCTGCTAGTAAAATAATATTCCCCAGCCAAGCAGCCCAAGGGTAAAGTAGAAAATCCTTGCTTGACAATAGTGATTTAGGATATCACCGGAGAATATCGAGGAATGGCTAAGAAATACTGGGCTAGACCGCAGATCCTGGAACAGCACAAAGGCTAGTACTCACGCTAAATCCCCTTCAAGCTTCGAATTTCGAGATGATGCAGATACTAACCACTAAAACCTCTCGCAAATGGGTTCGTAGATTCGATTTAAAGGGGTCAAAACCATCATGAAATTCCAGGTAGAAGCTACTCAATCATACCAAGATCCAATTTTGGAGTCCAACAATCTTGACACATACCTAGTTCTTGACAGCTCCTCACTGACTGCTTGGAGCATCATCCCACTGCATAGCTGGTTAGGATCATAGATCGCTCATCTATGTATAAATGGTCATCAGCCACTTCAGAAAGTGGGTAACTATCCTCTCTGACTGCTCCTCACTACTTGGAAATTCAGTTCCAAGTATAAATGGATCGGTTTCACCATAGTTCTAGAGGTTACATAGCCAACTTCCGCACAAACACAACTATTCACCATGGCCTGCACCCCCCAATTCGAGGGACTCCCGGGTCTCCCGGGCCCCCCCGGGTCTCCCGACTTGTAGACGTTGTCTAACACCTGCACTGCAGATCTAGCAGCCTGGAGCGATCGAAAGGAAGGGTCCACCAGTAAACCCCAGAAGAAGTTCAGAGAACTGCTGGGTAGATATAGCTTAGCAACAAATATTATGATTTAATGGGAAAACACGGGATGATTCAATGGGATTTGGTTAGCTAAATTGGCTTATGACTTGTGACCAACATAACTATAGGGTTTAGGGTGCTTACAACTACACGGTTCGACAAGTAAAGCAAACTTGTTTGAAAAATATCTCCTACATGGTCGTTTCTTGTGGCTACCTCCATGATCTTTGTGGAACAGAAAGCGACCACTGCTTCTTGGAGGCAACATCTTCGAACCATTCGAGGAATGTAGCAAACACCCAAAAGATTAAACAGGCGGCTTGTTTTATCACTATTCAATCCTATTCCAGGGGGAATGGATATATATATATATATGTTTATCGTTTTCGAATGTTTTTGATGAGATTCTATTGACTTCTACCCTCCAGCAAAGTAACACAACTATGAAAAGTCACCCGTTTATAGCTGATTTACCTCTTCTAGATGGTGATTTTGATGTTCGCAAACTGTTAGTCCCTGCCACAGGGTATCTTTTTGTTGGGTTGTTATACAACTACCCTCTGGTAATCTAACATAGCCATGGAAATTCACTATTTGTAATAGGTACATCATCTATAAATGATAAATTGCAAATTGTCCAGTTCACACACTGTTAAATTAATTACCAATTAAATAACCATAGACGATTTCCCCAATATTTCCCTATCATGGTTGATTTTATATGTTCAGTTTTCTCAATTAAATAATCCCAGGGTAAAGTACCATTTATAGATGGTTTTATAGATGATTTGCCTATGACATGGTGATTTTCAAGAGGAAACTGTTGAACTACCAGAGGGTCTCATAAATCATCATAAATCATCATAAATCATCATAAATCATCATAAATCATCATAAATCATCACAAATCATCATAAATCATCATTTACAAATGGGCCATGGCTTCCAGTTCGCAAAGTCTTAAAATGAGGAAATCATCATGAATCTTGATCATCATCTATTCTCCCTTTTGTTGGTTAAATAACCAAAGCGAAAAACTAGAGGCTAGATTCTAGATGTCCCATCATTTCTCTATGAATGATAGAAATTTCTAGATGATTTCCCTACCCCAAAAATGACCCAGTCGTGACGTAGGTAAATATTCCAGCACCGTGGAGCATCTAGGTATGATTCAATAACCACAGTTCTGGGCAAATTGAAATAATTCACTAACCCAAAATGATTCCCCGAATCTTCGCTATGATTCCAGGCTTCGGTCGCAGTGTCGTGATTGAATTTGCCCAGAGAGTTATTTCAACGACCAGAGGCGCTCACTTCAGCATCCCTGCGTCCCGCAGCTGCCTGCGATGTCTCGTAGATCACAAAGCCACATCGCTGGCCCGGCCTCGTGGAACGTAAAGTCGTCGACTCGTGGAATGTCGTACCCTATAAACGTTTACAAAAAAATGTGGAAAAGCCATGGTTTAGCTGGGAAGATGATCTTCAAATGGTGGGTTTTCCATATCTATCTTGGCTTACCCTAGGGTAGATTAAAGTATAACTATAACAAACTTCAAAAAATCTAGGTATTAAAGCACACCAAACTTGGACTCACCCATAATAATGTGTATTATTATGCACTTACATATTTTATATAATATACCCCATAAGGACCTATATCATCATACATACTCAGTGATGATACTTCCCAACAGTTTGTTGGCCATGCTTGGAAAGAACAAGTTATATGCTGATTATTTCCCTAAACTATCATGGAAAGTATGGAAGTGATTGTTTCCGTACTGGAAGGTCCAAACAAACCAAACCAATCAGGTTTGATATAAAGACTATTTCCCTATAGCATTGGCTGATGATCTCATCATGTTTGTCGGCGACGACACCCGATGTTTGTTGGTCAACAAATCTCATCTGAAGGTTCCGGGATCCCAAGGGGAATCCCAAATCATCCAGCAGCTGAACATCTCCTATATTTCACTGGATTGGTTTAAGGGAAAATCTTAACCGAAAACCCATCGGTTTTTTACCATCAAATTGATCGGGCTTTCCAGTTAAAATTTTCCCATCATCCAATTCTATGAATATTGAAACATATGAGGGTTCTTAAAATGGGGGATCCTCAGTCGCCACCATGGCTGAAAATCACTCCTAAGTCATGGTCATCCATGACTTGGATTTGGGGGACCCCCCATGCCTTAGGAAATCGCCATATTGAGACAACTGTTATGATTAGTTCTGGCCCTTTTACCAGTTATAAGGACTTAAAATTTAATTTATAGAATGTATCTCATTCCATGGTTTTATAACCAGTTATAACCAACATTAATCACTATATTAACCACTATTAACCGTGATTAAGCACTATTGATCACCAATAATCATATCAAGTTATAACCAACAGCTACTAGCCATGGCCAGAACTGCCATGGTTTTGGTCCGGAACTTCCGCACCTTGATCGCTCTGCGCCAAGCATCACAACCTGGAGTGGCACAGTGGCACTGATCGTTCTGGCCGTATCACTGTAACGAATGATTAATGTGGTAAAGTGATAAACTATAGGTTTATTATTGGATAAATATGGATATTGTAGTTTATTATAGTAAACCAATAAGGAACTATAACCCATAGGATCCATGGTGCTGCCATATATGGTAATATATGGTGCTCCATGGATCCCATCAATATACCCCATTTATCATGTTAGCATATATACCAGCACCATGGATCCTATGGGTAATAAACTATAGTATTCAAATGGATAGCTGAAATATATATATATATATATATATATACTATATATATATATAATCTATATATGGATATGAATGACACATTTCATTCAACGGATTACTGATTTGATATTAATTACTGTGGCAAACCCAATGCCAACAACTATAAACAACTATCCCCAATAGAAGTTTCTGACATTGGATACCCCACTTTGGGATACTGTAAAATGACCCCCAAATGATTGGTGAATGAGATGGTGTGTTTTTGGATTTACCACATGAGATGGTGAGTTTCCCATTAAACCTTCCATTGTGATCGAGGATTTCCCATTCACCTCGAGTGTGAAAAGTTTGGACAGTTACCAACCCAACAGCATATTCTGGTGAACAAGCATAGCAACTCGGGATCGACAAGCAATGCTTGAAAAAATAGGGGATGTAGTCCCAAATCCTGATGAATTGCCATCCATTGCCTTCTATTTAAAATTTAAACATATATATATATATATATATACATACACAGTAACAATTTATAGACAAACATATATACATATATATTTCAGAAAGGGGTGTTGTGAGCGCTAAAAAAACGAAATTTTGCGGATATATAGCCTTGATACTATGGATGGTTTCATGGTTTTTTTGCGCTCACAACAGCCTGTGTAAGTAGGACGAATCATTTGATATACTAACGGTGTAAGCAACCCATGTATGTCTGCTGTCTGCTGTCTAACCCGAACTACAAAATCCTCCAACCTGAACTGCGCAATCGTCTAACCCGAACTGCAAAATTGTCGTCTTCGCAGTGCTTAGTCCTGCGAAGATTCGCGGATTGACTCGCGACTTCTGACTAGTTGCCAATTTTTTATTTTTTTTTTGTTTTTTTGGTTTTTTCGAAGTTTTGCATCCCAGGATTAATCCAGATTAATCCACATCAATTCTGCTTCATCCCTTCTCTAGCGCATCATCTGTCAAATAAGCAGTCATCTTTGGGTCACAGCTGTCATCTGTAGCCTTGCCTTTCTTTGCTTCGTCGTCATCATGGCTGACCTCTTCAACCAGGCGTGTGTAGCTGCAGGGTGCCTTCAATGCACGAACTTGGAGCATCCTGTGGGTCGCGTGCTGGAACCGACTTATGAGCTGACAGCCTTGCCATTGAAGCCCATCGAAGGCAACACCAAGCTGAAGAGTGCAATTGAAAAGGTGCTCTATGAACCCACGGAGGGTGATGAGTTGGATACCATTGCAGATCTGGTCAGCAGCAAGTCATACCAGAATCTTCCACAGCCTTTGGCCCTCAAGGATGCCCTGCCCATACCCTTCACTTTCCAGCTGGTCTTCCGCAAGCAGAATGACACCACATACGAAGTCCTGAAGCATTACATCTTCTCCCAGAAGATTGATGTGCGCGGGCTGCAGCGGGTTGCTACTGGAGATCTCTTCACCATAGACTATGGCAAAAATTTCCGGTCAGGCTCTCAAGGTTTCCAGTACCTGCTCGAAAAGGTTGCCGACTATGCCATCCTTGCTTTCCAATTCACAGCAAAGCCCAAAAGCAAATGCAAGGAGAAGTCTGCCTTGGAGCAAAGCTTTTCCTACATCCAGAGTGAGGGCCCCAAGAGCAACATGAACAACCAGTGGACTGAGTGGGCAGAAATAGAGGTCAACCGGGAAGGAAGCCCAATCTATGGCTGGAACACTGGCTTGGTCAAGGAGTCTCTCAAAGGGTATGCCACTGGCAATGTCTTTGTGCAGCCCACCTTCAACTTCTATCTCACCATGCATGACCTGAGCGCCTGGTTTCTGGAGGATGTCATCTTTCCCTTGCTGCCGGACATGAAGAACAAAACATTGGTTCTTCTGGGAAATGCGGGAGCAGGGAAAACACCAGCTGCTTCGGCAATTGCAATGGCTTTCTCTGAATATTGGCTGTTGCGCGGTGACACGGCTGAGAACATGCAGCCAAGTTTCCGCATTGCCTCCAGCTTTGATCAGCTCCGTGGAGAACCTGGTCTTCGTGAGCGTCCAGACATCTTGGATGATGCTGACATGAGCCAGCAAGCCTTGCCCAAGTTGAAGGCATTCCTGGATAGTTCCTTGGAGGAAGCCTACACAGTCGAAAGGTGGACCACCACAAAATTTGTCAAGAACCACCTCAGGATCCTTTGTGACAACCGGGTCAATGGCAAAGCTGAAGATAAGCTGAAGCCAGGAGAAAACACCATCCCGTTCAGTCACTTCTTGGACCTCATTGCTCCAGCTTTCCCTGATAAGGCTGAGAGGCAAGACATTGTGGCCTGTCTCAAGCGTGCACATTTCATTGTCAACTTGGACTTTGCCACCTATGTCCGTCCAGCTGGAATTGGTGAAGGTCCTGTTGCAGTGGTTCGATATCCAGAGGATGAGAACAACCGCCAGATCACTGACTTCATCTCTGCTGATGGCAAAAAGGTCATTGCTAACATGAAAGATGGAGACAACACACCTCCGACTGATTGGATGTCCAGAAGGCAGTGGTCCCATGATCTTCTGAGTTTGTGCTTGGAGACCAAAAAGACTATCCCAAGAATCGAAACTGTGCTAGGGGCAAGTCCTTTTGGAGGAGAGAGAGTTCGCAAAGAGATCAAGCCACGTCTGCCAAGCTCCGGTCGCTTCTGTGTCCCACCGCCTTCGGTTCTTCAAGCTCAGGAACAACGTGCAGCACCATATTCTTCCCAGAGCCCTGCTCCAACACCGCATCAGATTGCCCCAGCCTTGGTCAATGGTGAAGAAGGAGCCTGGCACCTTCCAATCATTGAAGAGGATGCTTACAAAGGTCATTGAGCTGGATTATTCTGGCCAAAATTTGTGAGAATGCGGGCGCAGACTATTGAGAAAGAAATTCAATGGTCGAATCCAGGCATTGAAGGTCTCAGACATGTTGGTGCGGACATTCTTGGCACGTTTCTTTTCCTTGGGGGTCCAAGTTGATTTGGAGCAACGATGGTTTTTCATGTGGAAGCAATCAACCATGTAGTACTTGATGTTCTCAAAGCCTTCACACTCATACTTCTTGACATAACTTTCGAAGTGGCATGCATCATCATGGAGCAAGAGGTCAGCAGAAACCAAGGGCATAGAGAGCACCTGCTGAAGGAGGTCAACCTTATCTTCATTCCGCTCATTGATACGATGTTCATAGGCACCTAGCACTTTCCCAGTGCAAGGGTCCACAGCAAACTGCCAACCAGCAGTGCGATCGGGTAGAACTTGTCGAACGGAATCCTTCTTTGCACAGTGACAGGAACGGTCATGCTCATAGGGCAACTTCATGGGCCGTCCTTTGAGAGGAACTTGTCGAGGTGACTCCACAGGTGTCAACAAAGCTCGATGGACTCCAAAGTGACCATCAAAGCCAACAGAAGTCACAGGCACAGATGGAGGAAAGAGCATGATTGGCTTGGTGATTTTGATCACAGTCTTGGCCGGAAAGTCAAGGTTGAATTCAACAACCTTATCTGGCTGGCGCTTGGCCACTGCGTACCCCTCAAGGGCATGCAACAGATGCTTGCGCAAGGAGTCACTCCAGAACATTTCAACATGATCTCCATCTGCAATGTTCCTGTCCTTGCGCATATTTAAATCATCTATGTCTCATGCTCTGCAGGCAGCAAGCATGATGTGCTGTATAAAAAGGGCAGCTTGCATGACAAATTTTGGCGCTCACAACACCCCCCTCCCATATATTTATACCGTATACATGTCTATATCTAATGTAGGTATCACAAAAAGAGTCTATCCATATTCTCCAGTGCACTTTCAAGTAGGCCACCATCACCACCCCACCTCTTGGACAGTGCCGTAGGTGTTGAAGACAATCTTTATCTCTTCTTCTCGAATATCCTGGTGATCATGGTGACCATGGCGAACATGTTTCTTTTTATGTAAAGCAAGACCCAAAAAGATAGAAACGTGAAAACCTACTTAAAAGTAACCACCGGCTTTGTTTTATGTAAGGTTAATAAATGGAACTGGTTGGTAAATGGGGTAAGTAAATGGGCTTAGCAAATGGATATATATATATATATATATATACTCGTCATGACGAGGATGAGATGGGTTTGACCTTTCTGGGAGGTGGATGTTTGGAAATGGATAGGAGGGATAAAGTAATATAAAAAAGGGCGCCGGAATTATAACATAATAAATGGACCTCCAGAGCAAATCCTACCTGCATGTATATATATATATATTATGTATAGTAAATATACATGCTTGTATGGTGAAATTCAAGATGCTGACCATATATTCTCACAACGTGGAACTGCATGGGCAGTACATCTCTCCCAAAAACGCGAGCCGCTCCCATCTTTCAGTCCATTGAGTCCCACATTCAGTTCCATCTCCTGAAATTAAATACACTCAATAATAAGGTCATATTAATGGGATAATTGTGATATCCCACTATAGTCACTATAGATTACTGTATACTCTATTTTACCATAGATTATTGTGATATACCATAGATTATTGATTTACAATGGGTTTACCATAGCTGGTTGGTGGTTGACCCACCCCTCTGAAAAAATAAAACATGTTCCAAACCACCAACAAGTGGAATATTCATGAGCAATAATGGAATAAATGAATGGACTATTCAATGGGAAAAGGGACCCCGAATTTAGTAGATCCAATCCTAACCCCGAGTGTCTAGAGTGAAGGAAAGGGATTCGTAACTCCCATGAACATTAAAATGGCTTGATCACTGCCTGGAAAATTGTCCGAAGTCACCGAAGTCTTCTTAACTTTGCTTTCCAGATTTGATGAATGGTAACTTTGAATTTCAACATATTGCTTGTAACCTCATGTGCTATCTCGTTGTTATCGACATCCCAGATTCAATGGATCTGTTGATACAGCAAGGAAATCTGCTATAGGAACCTTGGAACTTTGTTTCCCCCAAAAATAGAGGTTCCTTGGAAAAAACATAAAAACTGGGAGAAATGGCTGCTCCCCGGGACCAGCAAGGAGTCCCGTTGTGGCGTCGTCCTCCGGCATTTTGGCCACGAAGAGTTTTCTGTCATCGTACTCCATTGCGAAGTGGGCCGCACCTAAGATGTCGAGCCAGGGACGGTCAGGGACGTCTAGAGACGCAGAGAAAACAAAGATCCTGGATTTTTTTTGGAAAAATCAAATCATTAGTCACTTTATGATAGTGTGTAGATAGTACTTGTTTTAATTATTTCTATAAACATCTAAGATGGTTTCCTGCACATGTTTCCTTCAACCAATTTTGATTGAACAGATTAATGGGACCTTCTCTACCCTCAGAGCCTGAAACAGTGTTTGTTTCTGCTGGTTTGCTGTTGAATACGCTGGTCATTTTGACCAAGATGAAAAACATAAATTGAAATGTTTTTTTTGGATGATGTTGCTTAGCCAATTGAGCAAGTATGCGTCCATTTAGGTGCATAGTACTTAAATCTCTTATGCCTAGAAACTAATTTCACAATTTGGGTTGACATCTTTCCTCATGGACATGGTGCAAACTTCAAAACTTCTATGTCTGCCATGGCATGGCATCACCGCCCGGTAGGCCCCAGCAGAATCCAGCAGACCCTCGCCTCTGCCAGGTACGACCCAATCCCACTCGCAGGGAGAAAATCTTTTTTTTTTGACTCCTAAAGCTTTGGAGCCAAAATGACCAGCGAAGATCACAGAATTATGTGGGGTCTTTCCAATGCTGTGGTTTGTGATACTGGGATTGGAGAAATCCGTCAGCCTAAACTCATTGTTTTTTTGATGATATTGTTTTTTGCGCGACATACATGCAAGGAGTGGCTGTTCGGACATATTGAATTTTACTGGGCCCGCCCTGTGGCCCCTATCATATTCATGCGTTCCACGGCGTCTTGCCATCCAACAGCTAGGTGGAAAACCTAATTTCAACTGGAAATCAACGAGTCTTTTGGTAAGTGTTGCGTACCTGGGACGCAGGGTTCAGTTGAGTGGTTGACTTTGTGATCAGTACTGGCAATCCACTGAAAGAACCGTCTTCTCAACCAAATCCAACTCTTGCCTGTATCCCAACCTGACAAAATCTATCACTGATAAGTCACAAACAAAACTGACTGGATATTTCATCAACCAATAGGATATAATCCAGAATTAGATGCGGGTATTTCTACAGATTCCACAAACCGGTCCTACTTGAACAATCATTTCATGGTTGCGAAACGAAACACCGAGGAAAACCATTGGTTGGGGCACCAGAGCCCCAGGTTACTCACACCGATCCAAGTCTCAACCAGCATTTCTAGCAGAGTCAAGAAAGCCTTTCATGCCAAATCTTCAATACGCTGCCAGACAAAATCATAATCCTGCTAGCTGCTCCCTGATAAACAAAAAGTTAGTACTAAACTACCCGTCTGGTTATCTTCCCCAAATTGGTTGGTTACCTTCTGATAAACTGACATAGCTCTGGAAAATCACTGTTCTAACCGGAAAAACATTTCTTCATGGTCCACTTTCCATAGCTATATTAGTTTACTGGAGTGTATATTAAATCCGTTTACATCTTATATCCCATCATTATCACTATATGCCTGGACATAATTCAATGATATATACCCATATTTCTTGGTAGAATCCCTCATGTAGGTGATGTTCTCATTAGAATCCCCCATGAAGCCCCGATGAATCGAATCAAAAATCCCATGAAGTCCCATGAAATCCAACGAACTACTCCTCGAATCATCATCAAACCCCACCAAATCCCATGAAAAATCCCAGCATATCCCATTAATTCCCATTAGACCCATGAAATCCCTATTTGTCAAGGTGAAATTCCCAGCTTTTGACGGAAGCGCATCGCTTCGCTCATGAAGTCACTCAGAGGTGAAGATCCACTCCACAGCAGCTTCCACCGTTGAGCAACGCCTTGGAGAAAGGTGGCTGAGTTGATGAGTGACCAGTTATAATAACAGTTATAAATACGTGTATATATATATGTTTATATGGCATCTATACATAGCTGAGATATACCTCAAATATATTGATATATATATATATATGTTTTTTTTAGAATATAGCATATCTGGTTGGTGGTTTCAACCCCTCTGAAAAATATAAAAGTCAGTTGGGGTGATTATTCCTAATATATGGAAGAAATAACAAATGTTCCAAATCACCAACTAGTAAATATATACTATAGAACAAGTAGCCACTATTAATGTTGCTTTATGATGTTATATCAGAAATAATTGTAAATCATTGTGATTAGCATTTTGCAAATCATATTAATTAGTGAGTTGATGACTGGCCATTAGTATAATAGATGGGGGTTTCAATTTCAATATGTTTCAATATAAACATGGTATACTGACTTGGATGATTCAGCCGCAGGCAGAACTCACTTCACATCTACGCCTTCCGAAAGTTCAAGTCCACCATCAGCTGTTGCCCTTTCCAAGCCGTGCTTTGAAATTTCTGGGCATGCTGTTGCCTCTTCAATACTGATTTGGGGTAGCTCTATTTTAGGAAACGTATATATATATACATGAACACAAATACATAATACCGTAATCAATAAAGATATAAAATATAATAATAGTAGTAATAATAATGATATTGTTAAAACACATATGATCTCAGCAGCTACTGTATTTAGTATAATCCAATGCCATAAACATAAAATGGTTGGTGGCGAATGCCAACAAATCTTTTCTACACTTGGGGACTTGGGGATGTTTATTATTGGGTTGCCCACATGGTGGGTTGAAAGCATTAAGATATTAGTATACAACTCACCTAGGAAAACAACTAGGAGGTTGTAAGCCTAGGAAAAAACTATGGTTGTATGCATTGTGTATATCATACAAGGTGGTCCACCCTGAACCCTAGTTAATTATGTTTTGTTTTGTGAACCCATTATATAACTAGATTTACAATTACTCATTACCTTAGCTACCGTGACTATGGGGCACCATCTGGTCTCTTTTCATAATATAAATATGTTACATACACTTCTACATGTACAGATGTTGGTCTCCTCGTCTAAAATGGTGAACAAATGCACATGTGCCGTTTAGACTGAAACATACGAGTTATTGTAAACCAGTTGGCTGACAAGAAGGTTCCTTGATCCTTGTATAACGCATGGGTTTAAGTCGGGCCAGCCAGGTTTGATCAGCCAGGTTTGTAGAAGAGGCCAATCTCTACCGGCAGAGCAGAAAGTTCTAAGTTTGGTGACCTTACCCTCTGGTAATTTAACATAGCTATGGAAAATCACCTTTTTTCATGGGAAAATCCACTATAAATGGCCATTTTCAATAGCTATGTTAAATTACCAGAGGGTATGTCTGCGAATTGCAGCTGTGACTGTTGGTGGTGGGCCATGTAACTAGATCATTCCATGTTTTCAGTCGATTGGATTTTCAGCGGCACACTTTTGTTTTTTTCCTGGGGGGTTACCGAGACAACATTGGATAAGAGTTTCCTATGGTATCCGGTCTCCATCCCGAACTTTAGTATGAAACCCCAAGAAGACCTTTTCACTTCAGCATCCTTCCAGATTCTCGTGAGAGCGACTCGCACCCAATGATGACCATATCCAAAAGAACCTTTGTTTTTTAGAAACCCGTTTTCCGGATTCCATGTTGATATAGACCATTTTTTGTTGGTCAACCCGTTCCCCCGAGTTATAAGTTAGTTCGATATTTCTACCATAAATCCTAGTTATGGAAATTACAAACAAACTGTTGGCTAACTACATCCCATTTAATAACCATTTGATCACCATTAAGTACAATAAAAACACATTTTTTCTTAACTTGGTAACTTATCCCATAGGATCCATGGTGCTGGTAAATATATGCTAACATTTCGGGTATATTGATGGGATCCATGTTAGCATATATAGCAGCACCATGGATCCGGCACGGGATATAACGCCCTGTGTTTCACACCGCTTTGTTGGCATCCACTGACTTCGCGGCTCCAGAGCTTGCGCGGCTTTCTCTTTGCTGAAGCCTCACCACGAATCAACGATCAGGATTCGTACGAATCAACGGGTGAATAAATCGTAGCCCGCGTTTGTGGGGTTAGTCCACCTTGAAAAACAATAGGCTTAATGTTAGTGGGGTTATAACATTATACTCACACTTTTATATACAATTATATAGGCGGTATAACTCCAGAAAATGGTGACGTTCAAAGTAGGGTGATTGACCAGGCACCAAGTAGGATGATCCTCCAAGCCATGGCCCATGGCTGGTTCGAAGATTTGCCAAAAAAATATGGCTATTTTCCGTGGCTAAGTTGTGTCGTAAAATGAAAGTCAACTAGAAATAAACCTGGAAACAAATCCTAAGTTGGCGTTGAACATTTGACTTATTCTAGAACATTTTGTTTGGGTGTGATGCATATGACAAGCAATATATAAGTGTGTGTGTGTGAATCCCATAGCAATGAAATCATTTGGTTAAGAAATGCAACAGAGAAAAAAACAAAAAAAGGTATATAAGTAGAAGGACATACCCAACCAGGAAGGATATCCCTTATATATAACCAAAAAAAACCTTCAAAAAAATAAGGTTTTGGGATTCCACCTTGTGGGCAATAGAGTGTTTTGCTTTGATGGGAAAGGATTGGGGCTGGGGTGATCAATCTGTTTTGTTTTGTGAATTCACTAACAAAAACATGTGGCAATAGGAATCAAGTAAACATAGGCAGGGCATGCTTGGTTCGGAATGAATCTACAAACAAAACATGTGAACCTGCGTAATCCATTAGCACCTCGGATCTGCGACACAGTGAATGTTACTTGTCAGACTTACAGGCATCCAGGCATCCAGAATGAACCTGCGAAGAGAAAATGTGATCTAATCCGTTTCCCAAATGTTCACAAATTACAAACACCTGGAATCATCCTTCCAATGAAAACCAACCAGCCTTCCCTTATGTTTCAGCAGCTCTGCATCCTTATTAATGCCGCTGTGTCCTGGAAGGCGCTTCTTCAGGCTGGGTGCCAGACTCATTCCCATGAGAATTGCCATGTTCTTTGCACGTTCCTCTTCTCGGTTTCGCACCTCAAAATCCATCAGAACGCATGACCCAAGTTGGAATCCACTGCTTGGTGAGGTGCCAGGTGAGGTCATACACTATACCCTCTGGTAAACCATACAAAAAGCTATTGAACATTGCCATTTATAGTGGATTTTCCGGTTCAAAATGGTGATTTTCCATAATTATGTTAGTTTACCAGAGGGTAAATAGAATGGGATGAAGCATACCCCAGCTGCAGGATTTTGTCCACAGGGGTGAAGTAGGCAAAGCCAATCTGCCGTCGAAATTTGACAAGTCATACGCAAAAACCCATTCTCTCTTGCTACAGACAGGCCAACAGAGACAACAAAAAAAACATCAGAATTTTGGAGGTCTTTTTGCAGCAAGCCTGTCTTGCTCCCAAATTTGCCAAATTTTCCCGGTTTGT